CCCTGCCTTGAGTCCATACAAAAAACGCTTGCAACCTTCGCATTTGCGGGCTTCTGTGCGTTGACTGGACTTTTTTTGGCAGGACAACTCAGAACAATGTGGAGCATCTTCATGAGTTGCCGCCAAAAACCACTTCAGGATTGAAATTAGTCCCTCTTGCCTACCAGTTCTCTTCTTCTCTCATGCTACTCTTCCGTCGGAACATGGCCTCGTGAGGGTAAAACTCAATTGCTGAGCCTATTTCCATTTCGAGTGAAAGTGTTTGGGGAAGAGATTTGAAGGTCGATCCCACCAGAAGACAACGGCGGATCTCTCTTCACCAATTGTCGGTTGGCTTTACTGGAGCATTCTTGTTGAAGCTATTTCTGAGGCAATCTCCCTCGATTTCGGTGAAAAGGTGTCATCTTGTTCACGTCATCGGAGCAAGGTATCATCCTTAAAACTTTTTTCAAGCTAACGAATCAAGAAAGCATGACGGATGACCGAGGAAAGCATAGCACATTTTCGCCGGCTCGAAAACAGCTTCAACAAGAATGTTCCAGTTAAGCTAATCGACAACTATATGCGAAGAGAAGTTGGGTTTCGAGGAATCTCTTGTTTCATAATTGTTGTGCTTGCTTCCATTTCGAGAGAAAGTGTTTGGTGAAGAGATTCGAAGGTCGATTCCAACAGAAGACGACGGCGGATTTCTCTTGACCAGCTGTCGATTGACCTTACTGGAACATTCATGCGGACGCATGAGGTAATCTCGTTCGATTCCGGTGAAAAGGTGCTAAACTTTACTCCGTGATATGACAAATATCATCAGAGCAAGGTATCATCGTCACAACCAAAGTCAAGCCAACGAGTCAAGAAAGCATGACGGATGACTGAGGAAAGCATAGCACATTTTTGAAGGTTCGAAAACAGCTTCGACAAGAATGTTTTATTTTTCGAATTAAGTATTGTTGTCGTGACTACCAATAAATCAGTAATATGAGATGTATTTTCCCAATTTCGTTTAAGGTGATGAAGGACGGGTAGAAGAAGAATTTTCCCATAATGATATGAGTTGAGCTGACGTTTCCATTGAATTTTCGCATAGCCTTGCTTTCCCAAAAGTTGTTATCATCCATCTCCTTCGATTCCGGTGAAAAGTTGCTAAGTTTTCGTCCGTCATATGAGCAAAGTAGCATCGTCGAAACTAAATTCAAGCTAACGAGTTAAATTATCTTGGCTGAAACATTCTTATGAGATGTATTCACCCAATTTCGTTTAAGATGATGAAGGACTGGTAGATTTTACTGATTTACTGGTAGTCACGAGGACAATACTTAATTCGAAAAATAAAGTATAGTAGTCGATTGTTATAGCAGATATACGTTTACTTCATCAACACTTCCACCAAAATATTATGATATGGCAAAAAGGCCTGGCCTTCCTTGAAAATTCACATTTTCCCTGTGACCCAAAAGGCGCTCGTGGCAGTATAGCCGAGTGGTTAGCGTGTCAAGATCCCATCCTGCACTGTCGCGGTTCGACTCCCGCTGAGGGTGTTGATAAGACCGATTCCAGGGCAAAACTGCAGTCCATCCTGGATGAGAACAACCTTTGGGAAAGCAAGGCTATGCGAAAATTCAATGGAAACGTCAGCTCAACTCATATCATTGTGGGAAAATT